TAGATTTTATTTTAGACACTAGACGCTTTTCCGCTTGCAGACAAATTTTCACATAAAAACAAAAATAGAGGGAAACCCCATAAAGTTTTGCTAGATGCCACAAATTTGATGCCTCTCTCGCTCCAAAAACTCGCGGCATAACTCAAAAGTCTTTAGAAGTGTTTGAAACTGTCATACGCACGTAGTTTTTTCTTGCACTCAATCTGTCCACCACTCGGTCTCCCCCCTCTCTCTCTATCTCTCTCTCCCCCCTTTCTCTGTCTCGCTCTCTATGGCTCACACTCTTAGCATTTCGGCGACTACAACAACAAGCATTGCCACTTTATTATACACTATAGCTTTAAGAGCGAGTACACTAACTTTCTCATCAGATTTGTTTGGCTTTAGCTGACCGCGATAAAGTGAGCCAGTTATTCAGGCAATTGGAGAATGAAGCTCTTATTTTTTATTATACGAAAGTGGAACTTAAATCATGCAAGATATGATAATATAATACTATTATATACTATTATTATTAAATAAATACTTCTCGATGATGTATATATTCTTTATTCTCAGAGTAGTGAAGTTTCGGTTTCGAACTTTAGGCCTAGTTTATGTTTATGTAGGCAGCTAGGGCCAAGCAAGAGCTGTGTGGATATTTATATTATTATCTTACACTAATGATAGTAAGAGTAAAACATTTATCTATAAGAAATATTTTAAAAAACATGAATTGGAAAATAGAATGAAAGGATTTATGATACAGTTCCGTACCTATTTTTGCTGTAATCCCATTTTTGGGTCGTTTAGTGTATTCAGGTATTTTTAATAGCTCTTGTAACTCTCAGTTGGTGCGTCTTGTTTGACTACCATTTCGTAGCGGCATTGAGTGCTAATAAGTAAGCTGAATAAAGAAAGAACTAACTGAAATGAGAGTAAAGAACTAACGCGTTTTGGCCAGCATCGAATCAAAAGCATTTCTAACCAACTTTGTGGCAAAGTTTGCGCAGGCGGCGCAACGACTGAGATTGAGTGCAAATAAAATGATGTCATGAAGTGGCAGCAGCGGCGAACAGGGGAGCTCTAGCTAAACTCCTTATTGTTGTTGGCCAAAAGGAAGGGGCGGCGGTTGGAGGCGGGCCGCTGCAATGCATGCTCCACTTTATTTCAGCTATCAACTCGTAAAGTTTGCGGTTTGATGGCCGGCTGCAAAAAGGGGGCGGGCGGAGTTACTTAGTGTAGAAAGAGTGTAGTGCCAAAAGGGGCGGGCAGTACACTAACTTTCTCATCAGATTTGTTTGGCTTTAGCTGACCGCGATAAAGTGAGCCAGTTATTCAGGCAATTGGAGAATGAAGCTCTTATTTTTTATTATACGAAAGTGGAACTTAAATCATGCAAGATATGATAATATAATACTATTATATACTATTATTATTAAATAAATACTTCTCGATGATGTATATATTCTTTATTCTCAGAGTAGTGAAGTTTCGGTTTCGAACTTTAGGCCTAGTTTATGTTTATGTAGGCAGCTAGGGCCAAGCAAGAGCTGTGTGGATATTTATATTATTATCTTACACTAATGATAGTAAGAGTAAAACATTTATCTATAAGAAATATTTTAAAAAACATGAATTGGAAAATAGAATGAAAGGATTTATGATACAGTTCCGTACCTATTTTTGCTGTAATCCCATTTTTGGGTCGTTTAGTGTATTCAGGTATTTTTAATAGCTCTTGTAACTCTCAGTTGGTGCGTCTTGTTTGACTACCATTTCGTAGCGGCATTGAGTGCTAATAAGTAAGCTGAATAAAGAAAGAACTAACTGAAATGAGAGTAAAGAACTAACGCGTTTTGGCCAGCATCGAATCAAAAGCATTTCTAACCAACTTTGTGGCAAAGTTTGCGCAGGCGGCGCAACGACTGAGATTGAGTGCAAATAAAATGATGTCATGAAGTGGCAGCAGCGGCGAACAGGGGAGCTCTAGCTAAACTCCTTATTGTTGTTGGCCAAAAGGAAGGGGCGGCGGTTGGAGGCGGGCCGCTGCAATGCATGCTCCACTTTATTTCAGCTATCAACTCGTAAAGTTTGCGGTTTGATGGCCGGCTGCAAAAAGGGGGCGGGCGGAGTTACTTAGTGTAGAAAGAGTGTAGTGCCAAAAGGGGCGGGCAGGTTGGATGGGTGTGGGCGTGGTCTGTGATTTTTCTGCACGAACTCTCAGAAGCCGCAGCCGAGATGCGGCTTTCAAAACTTGAAGCACAGCAATTACAACAACAACAACAACAACAACTGAACAAATCTGGACAAGTATTTTGTCAACTTTACCAGCGGCTGCTTAAGTGCTGCAGGTAGGGACGTTTTCCATTCAAAGGGGAGGGGGCAGCGTGGGGAGAGTGTGTTTAAAGTGTCGCCTATTTCTTTCGCCACAGAAACTGAGAGTTGACCAGAGTGCAGCAGCAGCAACAGCAGCTGCTCGCAATCGGACACAACTTCTAATTAGCTCGAAAAACAAATTCTTTGCCTACTTACCGGTAGCTGCAGTGCCTTTGCCCCGCTCTCCAGGCCGCAGTCCAGCGGCTGCCGCTTTGCAATTCAATTAAAAATTAACATTTTAATTGCAAATAACTTTTATACTTTATGGCACAGTATGCCGCACCAAAAAATAGCTGTGCGAGGGTTGCCTTTTGTATTGTTCTGGGTGTTCGTTCACTTTGACTGCTACTTTTCGAAAATCAAAGCTTTCAGAAGAATCATGAACCGAATCTTAAAACAAAACATAAAAATAAAACCAAATTTCTATCTTCCACCTTCTCAGAAGCTGGAAACCTATACTTCAAGTAAATATTTAAACGCATTCGGCCAGACTTTTGTGCTGTCGAGATTGACAACATTCGAATACATCTGGTCACACTTATTCATTCACATTCTGATTACTCTTCTTACTGCCAAAATGCACAATATAAAAGCGCACCTGGTCACACTTTCTTGCTCCTAAAATGCTGGTCACATGCTTTTGTGGCCAATATCCACAAGACTTAAACTCATCTTCACAATATAAAAGGCAACTCCAGAAAGGAAAAGATCCCTCAATTGGGCCAATCGTAGCTACCTGTGCAGTGCATGCCCCTCGCTATTTTTATGCCCATTTCCATCACATTTTCATTCCCATTTCCCGCTACTTTCAGCCGTTTTTCAGGCCATTTAATTTGATCATGCGCCAACAATTATGCAACTTGTTGGCTCACTGCGTCTACAGCTGAGTACACCAACAGACTGTTGTAGTTGTTCCCTTGGCCGCCTTTTCCATGCTTTATTGTTGTTGTTGGCAATAAAACTTTTTCCATTTGCTTGGCATCAAAATGCCGTTTGTTGCTTCATTGTTGTTGCATACTTTGGTGAGTGTTCGTTCAAGGCGAGGGCCTGCGATAGAGAGAGAGAGAGAGAACGTGTTGCATGCCCCAAGGTGTTGCGGCGTGTGTGAAAATTATATGCCAGCTTGTTGTAGAATTGGTCATTAAGACATCTGGAAATATTCGAGATTCCAATGAATAAAACTAATCTGAGCTTAGCATAGGTTAGGCACAATGCCGAAACTTTGAGCACGAACTGTATTAGGGATTGATTTTGTGTACGTAGAGCTTAAAGCCAGGTGGCATCTGGAACACACCTGCTACATTTGGTTTTATCTGCTTTATCTTGTATATTTTTCAGTCCATTGATTTTCCGCAATTTCCTTGCTGCATTTCCCTCCATCGTTGCTGTTTTATTTACTTGTTAGCGTCATCAGATATGCAACTTTTGACACGCCTTTGAATTGTTATTCCTTTGCCGAACTACTCCCTCTCATACATTTTTATTGTCTTCAATTTCTATAAATTTAGTTTTCCTTATCGACTGCTGTTGCTTTTAAGTGCGTTTTCTTGTCTATGCTGGCTTGTGGCTTTTCTGTGCGCATTGAGTTGCAGTTTAATTTATGGCAATATTATTTTCCATTAAATAAAATGCAACTGGTTGAGAAAATCAGCTAAATTTGCAGTGTTATTTGTGGCTTAACTTTCAAGTGCTACACAATAGTATTTAATTGAATTTATTTAGGTTTATGTGTATTTATATGATTATTTTTAAGATTATTTCTGTTTTTTTTTTTATTTACTTTTTATTTATTCTAATTTATATTTGAGTTTCTTTTATATTTAGTGCTGGCAAATATTAATTGACTTTGCTTCGCCAAAGTAAAGAAAGAAATTTTACAAAATGTAGTCCGACAGCTTTCTAGCTTTAACAAGTTTTGGCAATCAGACGAAAGGCCTAGCAAACCTTCAATAATACTTTACTTTATCATGAAAAACAGTCGAATATTTTATTATTTAGGAATATGTTTAGTAACATATTTTGCTACTCTATGGGAGAGAATTTTACACTTCAGACAACGCTTTGGGGTTAAAATTCTCAACTTGTAAAGCCCCAGCTAAGACATCCCTTTTTTGCTGTCCCCACTTCCTTGGTCAGTTCCTTTCGCTGTTAATTGCTTTTGTAGACAAATTATAAAGCACTCGAGTGGCTCTGGCTGTGGCCGTTGCCGTTTGTGTGCATCACTCAAAAACAGACAAAACCACACTCCGGTCCATGACCATGACATTGCTCTAGGGCTGCCCAACAACAACAACAACAACAACAACAACAACAACAACAACAACTACAACAACAACAACAACAACACAACATGAACCGGAAACGGTTCAAAAAAAAAATACTACAAAACAAATAGAAAACTCTTGTTGGCCGGGACCAGTCGTCAGTTTTAATTTAACTTTGACATGCATCAGCTCAAAAATCCAATTACAAAACAAATGTACAAAGCGTGCGCCCTTTATTTTTATTTTTTGCCCTGCGCCCAGCTAAATCCCATTAACGCCTGTGTAGATATTTTTTGGCCAGCAAAAACTGACCGAACGAGCTGAAGATTTATGAAACCATTAATTTTATGAAAAGTGAAAAAAGTATAATTAAAAAAAAAAAAAGTGCAAAAACCAAAAGCAAAAAGTGAACAATGTGCGCTTAGGGCGTGCTGTTGCGCCAATCCCTTGCCCCTGGCAATGAGCCGCCTTCCAAATGAGTGGCCAAGGATAAGCAGTCGGACCAGACAAGATGTCCAGCAGCCGCGGCAAATTGCCGCCACGTTCCGATCGCAATGCCAACGAGGAGGAGCAGCTGCAGCAGCTACAGCTGGGCGCCAGGCCCAAGGCCCATAAAATGCTGCACTCCAAGACTGACAACCCGTCAACGGGACATGCCAACTACATGGAGCTGGAATTTAGCCAAGCGGCGGCAGTTGGTCACAGCTGCAGCGAGCTGCCTGTTAGCTATGCTACCAGCACAGTTGTGGTGCCAGGGCAAGCCTATCGGGAGCCGGCACCGCCCACGCCGCCACCGCTCTCGCAGATACCCTCGCGTGAATCGCGCTTGTTGCACTCGGCGCCGAATACGCCCAGTCGCGGCAAAGTGGTGCTCAGCAAAAAGGAGCGCAAGGAGCTGAGCAAGCAGCTGGGCCTGGAGGAGCTGGCAGTTAGCACCTCAGCACAATCCAGCCCCTACAAGGGGCGTGTCACGGAGCTTAAGAACTGCATAGCGCGTGGTCTTTTTGCAACGTTGCATCGCGGCTCGCAGAAGTCGCTGCAGCCAGCGGCGGTCGCGTCGTCGGCAGAGCGAGGCAGCCAGGACATGCAGCTGAGTCAAGAGTTGTCACCGCCGCCGCCAGCGCCAGAGCTGGCCAACAACAATGAAGACGATGCGGCCGACTATACAGAGAAGCTTAAGAATTTGCCCGTACGGCGACGTAAGGCAGCCACCTCGCACATGGACAACTATTGCCTCTTCGATCCGGTGGACTTTATCAACGAGAAGGCGCTGCGTTATCCCGGTAATACGAAACATGGTTTGCGTGATCCATTGTTCAGTTCCAGGCAGCATCTGGTGTGCGAGGATGAGGAGGAACTGGTACCGGAGGTCATCTATGATGGCGAGGAGCTGGAGGAGACCATCATTATTGAGACCTCCGGCGAAGCGGATGCCGAAACTGAGGGCAGCGCCTGTGCTTTGCCCAGTTTTGAGCATCATAATTATTTTGTCATCGATCCGGAGGACTTTGAAATGGAGCCGGCCATTATAGACATAGGCATACCCAATCCCTACAGCAACGAGCAGCTGGTGCATGCCAAGTTGGAGCAACAACTACTGAATGAGTTCGAAACAGCGCCCAGCATGTCGAATAGTCAGGAGTCGAAGGACACAGAAACCACCTCTACTGCTCTTGTGGAATCCTCCACCTCCACCAATTCGGCCAGCTCGAGCGGCAGCTCAAATGCACAGCAACAGCAGCAGCAGCAGCAGCAGCAGCAGCAGCAACAGCAACAGCAGCAGGAGCAGTCCATGAAAAAGAAGCTCACTTTTCTTAATCTCTCGCCCTTTCGTCCGAGCGCCAAGAAATGCAATCAGAAAACCTTTATGGAACAGCGCGCCATCTCGGAGCTGGTCACCACCGATCACATGCTGCATCTGCAGCAGCTGTTGCAGCAACAGCGCAAGGATCAGCGCGCCCACACGGTGCCCATCGAGTCCAACTATGTGCTGTTCAATCCGGGACCCGTGCCCAGCCGCCATGTGCAATACAAGATACGTAAACCTCGCCCGTTATCCACTCACAGCGATGCGGACAGTGGATTCCTCTCGCCCTGCTCACCGGATGAACTGAAGGCCAATCCAAGCATTTTGGTGCTGCAGCAATGCGACAGTGTTCAGGGTTATATTGAGGTGAGCTTGGAATATTATGCGTAATATCTATAATATATTTATGAATTTTACTTGAAGTTGGAAATGTTAACGAAGGTTTTTCACATGAAAATATTTGAATTTTAGTCTAGAATTTCGTATACTTAGGATAAATAATTAGCTTTACGGCTTTTGAATTTTCTGAATGACAATAGTCTTAAATTCTAATCTATCTTTAATATATCCTTATCTCGACGTCAGCTTTAGAATATTTAGAGTTGCGAGAAACTAGTTTGTTTATTTTGAAAAAGTATGAACTTTTGCTTAAACCAATGAAATACTTTTTTATGGCCAAGGTCCTTCCCTTCATGCTTATTATTATGGATATTTCTTTGATGATATACAATCGCGCAGTAAAAGTCCAGAACGGGGTTCCTGGCACATTTATTTCGATTAGATATTCAAAGTACAGATAATCTTAAATTTGAAACAAAAAATACACAAGATTTGTAACCTGCCCGAGGGTCTAGACCACATTTGCACACCCCATATACACATATCTTAAGCTGGTAATCATTGTGGCATGTTTCAGTTCGCACTTGTCGCCATTTGCCGGCTCACTTATCTTAACGAGCGGGCAACTTAACAAGTCTTATTATGCAGCTGCCGCCAACCCCGGGCACTTTTCCCGGCCTTCTTATGGAGTCGAATCCTGTAAGTGGAAATTATCAAACATCCATGAAACTGCAGTTCAGGCTGGGCAGCAATGCAGCAGCTTTATCGTGGGGGGGTTGTTGGGTGAGCATTAACGGGGGTTGAGTTTGGCTTTTGGCCCTGGTGATTGCATCAATTTAAGTGTTTTCTTTGCGTCAAGTAGCTGCTGCTGCTGCTGTCGCTTGCCATCGGCGCCTCGGGGGAGCAATCAATCCTCGCGTTGCCACTGTGCGCTTCATTAGTTTTTCGCTAGAGAAACAGAGAGCGAGAGAGAGGGAGAGAGTGACTGGGAGACAGGCAGAATAAATAGCGATAACAACAATAATAAGAAGCGAAATACTTTTTGCACAGCTGTGCACAGCTTCGTTGCGACTTTTAATGGAATTGAATTAAAAACTGTTGCCATGGCGTCGAATTTCGCTCTCCCCGTGTCCCCGAAACCGCTTGCCTCAGGCATTTGGAGTCATTTGTAAATTGAAATACGCTCTGCGAAAAGCAGCCGGGAAAAACAACAAGTTCAGGTCTCGCCCGGCCTTTGGATCATTGTGTGCCCCGCGGGCGCACTGGTATTCACAGAAGTCTACTTATGGCCGCTCAATAAACCGGGCCAAGAGAAGTGTCAAGTGCAGTGCTTTTCATATTTGTAATGCAGGCAGTCAAACAACTATGCGATTGAGGGTTGCTCCATGGTCAAGGTAAATGGGCTGTAAAACGATATAGCCGCGGGGGTAGCTGCAGGCTCAATGTGAATGGGGCTTGAAGAGACAGAGAGCGAGAGAGAGAGTAAAATCAGAGAAAAATGTGTGTGACTGGCGCTGAAAATGGGAAACCCCTTTTAGAGGCTAAAAAATTGTATCAAAGTTAATGAAAGACAAAATGCATTGAAAATAGGGCAAATATAAGGCAACTGCATTAGCGAAAGCTTATAATTCTCAAATATTTTAAGCAGTTAAGAGTTTAAGGAGGAAAATAAAGAGGAAAAGATATGCCATTATAATTTTAAGCAATGATAATTGATACCTGCATTTAATTGGAATTAACTAGTTTATATAGATAAATTAATATTTCTAACTTGATGTAATTCCCAAACAATTTAAACATTCAGCTGTTAAATAGGCATTAAAGAAATTAAATTCTATGGCAGAACATTTAGTTAATCTCACTGAAATGTACAAATGTGCTTGAGAGGATTTAATAATTAAAATTCAACAAATTACCTCGACGAGCATAAACATACTAAAGCAACCGTGTTTATGGGCCTAGACAAATGTTTTTACAAATTATTTGCTAGCAATTGCCAAATTTACAGCTTAAGGAATTATTTAATTGAGATTCATAAAGTACCTCCATAGAGAGAAAGATATAAAAGAAACTGAAGCTAAAAGCCTAGGCGCTTTTTCCCTTAGTCTATCTGTCGCTCCCCAACTGGTGTTTAAATTTCTGGCTTTTCGTACTTCCATTATAGACTCCACTTTATAGTCACTCTATTTGCCTACTGCCAGACCCACCCACACTCATTAATTCTAACCAAACAAAACTCAAGCAATTTATGCAAAGCGACACATGACTCGCTTCCACTTGCCCATAAATTTGACTGCCGCATTTCTCTCCCTTCTGTGCTTGTGGGCCTAACCCAATGTCCTGTGGCCAGCACCCAGCAGCGCACGTTGGTAATCCCAGCTCTATATAGAGTATATTCCAAGTGCGTCTGCCTTCCAGCCAAAGAACTCAATTGCAAATTGCAACTGCCACTGAGGCATGCAATTTTCTCGTACAACGCCGGACGACATACTGTTAGCTTCGTCGCCAACCGCCCCCATCCTCGCGTGCGCGCAGTTCCAACAAAAACTCTTCGCGAGGCGCTAAGCTGTCAAATGTCGGACATCGTCGTTGTCCGGGCTGCCACCACAGCGGCTGCTGTTTCAGCTGCTCTTTCAAATTGGGGTTGCCATGCACCCAGCATTGTTTATGCGTTCGAAATATTTTCTATGCCCAAAACTGGGCTGGGTAGTGTGTGCGCAGGGGGCAGGGCGGTTATGCATGTGGCACAAGTCGCGTGTCGTGGGCTACTTTATGTGCGGCTCACAAAACCCTTATCACCCCTGCATGTCGCATATATACGCATGTATTTCTCATGCCTTCGTTCTACTGATTAGTCCAATAAGTTGTAAAAAGTGTCGACCCAATGCGCGAGGCGATTATCTACTCTGGCTTTTATTTCGATAACTTTTTGATTTATGGCTGTGCAATAAATGTTCGATGTGCACTTTATAATTATGTGGCGCCGGATGTTGCACGAAAGGATATAAAATGCCCATTGCCAATGCCATATGTGCGCAAAATAGTCCATAATTATGCTGGATAAATTGCAAAAAAAAAAAATAAAAATACAATGAAAGAAAAATGTGAATGTGGGGCGGATGTGACTTCGACATACGCTGCACGGGAACTTAAACAGTGGAATTTTTCTAAAGCTAATTATTAATAAGGCGTACAATTTTTTAAATAAATAAATATAATCGACTCTCATAATCTACAAAAGGCTCTGTCTTATGCAAGTCTTTCCTATTCGTACTTGGACGAATATGGAATAAATATATATTTAATTTTATTTAACATTTTCCGCAATGAAACCAAAAACAACATAAACTCCACAAATTATAAATAAATTTGCGGCTTTTTTGTAGAAACTAATTTAAATATTTTAATTTGCATAAGCGCCAATTTCAAATCTCCAAAAATTTATAAAAATTCCTTTTATAATTTAAAGTGTGTATTTTTTTTTTTCTAAAATGAAGATTTCTATGAATTGAGATACTTTAACTTAGGAGCTTCAAATTGCAGATCTACTTCAAAAACTTACGAAAGTTTATAAATAGAAAAATCTTTAAGAAGTTATGAAATTCGTTATGTGTTACAAACATTTCTTCTCAGTGAATGGACTCCACAGTATCGCACGAAAGTTCATTACAAATTGTAATTTTGCAGTTAAAAATATGCAACAGTTAATTCTCTTCGTTTTGCTGCTTTTTTGTTTTACCGCCTGTAACTATTTAAAATGAATTGTCATTTGGCATAAAAAAAAGAACTCTTTTTGTATTGCAAATATGCATCTGAGCCGATAAAGAACTGAAACTGCAGCTGTCAATTTCAATCGGTTGGTGGGGGGGTATACATACCGCGGGGCATTAAAGTTGGCGCTGAATTAAGCTGCAATTTATTTGCAACAACATTTGCAATGGATTTTCTCTTATGTTCTCTCTGGTTTTCTTCGCATATTTGCCAGTTGGTTGGTTTTAATAATAATTTCATTGCAACAAAATAATGTATGTGCGTGTGTGCGCATATGTGTATTAATATTGTGCGTTAATTTTATGGCCAGCTGGGCCGCATTACCAACGTCTGTTGCCCGGAACCGAGAGGAGACATGGTATGGGCACAGGAACTGAGCCGTTTAATGGATGCGAGCGTTATTAATGCACATGCGACGAGGATAAGAACGATGAGGAGGACGAAGACGAGGACGAGGACGAAAATGACGTCCTGAACAATGTCGTTCAACATTTTTGCTCCACTTTAAGTTTTTCAATTTGCTGCACACTATCAGAAACGCGTCCGCTACAGGCCTGCTCTAGTCCACTGAACAGATGCAGCAGTCCAGGGCGAACCCAACGCTGGGCCACCGTGGCGCCTGTGTCCGGGCTTTAAAGGCAGCCAGCCAAGACCAATAGCCAAGACCCAAGAGGAACGCCAATGTCGTACTACCCGACGCACACACAGCACTGACAGCTAAATGCGTTGCACTTATGCTTAAAACATGTCAGACACCGTAGACAGCACTCAAACCGACTAACAGACAGTCGGACAAACAGAAGGACGTATGCCGCACTGAAATAGAATCCTTTAGGGGCCATTTGAATGCAGTTGAAAAGCGCTGCATATTTTTTGGCGCACTCACTCACGCTCAGTATTTAATGCTTCTATCACATGCTTGCCAGGCATAATACCTTCGCCATGCCAAAGATTAGAAGGTTTCTATGGTATTCGATTTTGGTATATGGGGAATAAGTAATTAAGAGTTCGATAAACAAAAGCTCGATGATTGACCATTTTGACTGAATCGTTGGTTTTTGCTGGTTTTAAAGTTGGTTTGTAGACGTCTCTCCCTACAATTCCATAGTGTGCAGCGAGCCCAAGGGTAGGAATTTTAGTGAAATATAATTTACAAAATATTCTAAAGGTGAATTTTATTTAAATTATAAAATACTAAATTTATTTTCTTCAGAATATTTAAAAATGTATATATATATATAATATTTTTAATACTT